CAACTGGGCCCAGGACCCTAAAATAAGTTCTCTCGACAAGGTAGCGAAATGCATGATTTGTGTCTAAACCGAGTCAGGGTTTGAAAGCTTTGGCGGGACTTCGGGAAACGGGTTCCTGGTCTAAATACGGTTTCCTTTCCCTTTTTTTCGAAAATTGCAAAGAAGAACTTAGTAATAAAATGATTGGTTTCAAGAGGGTCAAAAACGTGAAGAGCAAAAACGTGTCTTCATGATCACGCATCCAGTGCCGGAGGCAGCCCTGTCATGTCAGTATATTGTGTTGGCCTACGCAGATGTTTCTTCACGTAAATTAACTTGTAATAGAGTGGAGAAGTGTGACGTCACGTTACCATGGTAGCACTATTTCTGGATGACAACAAAACCAACGACGACTGCCACAGCAAGGAGAAGGAAAAAATAATATGTTTATATTAACAAACAACAACTTTGCACGTGCATCACGCTATTTTGTACACTTCTTTGCCGTCGTTGCACCACTACGACATGAAACTTCTTAATTTCACGAGCCCGCTTTATGGAGTAGGTGACACAACACAAAAAATTGTCGCCTTCTTTTTCTAAACTTAGATAACGATAAATACGGCCCCGAAGAAAATTTCGCCAAGATTTGCCAAATTAAATTAAATAAAATTGAATAAGATCGGTGAAGTTTGAAATAGTGCGAATAGACTTTTAAGTGACTTTATCGGTTTGTTGTCTTCCAAAAATTTTGCTACCATGGCAACGTGACGTAACGACTTCTCCTGTTATTCAAACCGAAACTCAATGATCCCTCTTATTATCTGCTCACCCCTAACGCTCACTCCTCATTAGGCCTTGGGATAGACTTGCCGTATAAACCGTTTCACTTCTAACCGCCTGGCCCAAAAAAATCCCCCCCAATATTAACTTTCGTTTTGTAAAATCGTAAGAAATAAATGGTACTCTGCAAAAGTTCTACTAAACAGGTTTCATTTGAATACCAGCACCATGGGATTTCGCCTACAGACTCAATGTTGTTCCGAGCTTCTTTTTCAAAGGGAGGCTAAGTGCAACAGGAAAGGTTTTGCACTTAGCCTCGTTTCTAAAGTGAAAGTTTATGGAACTTGGCAAAACTTACCTATTGTTGACAAAAGTCTGGTCGCCACTGCCCAAGCTGGCCCGGAAGGGGGGGGGTACTCCTGGGAATTTTGGCGGGGTTGTGCCTGACCCTATATCAGACCAAAAAATGTTATTTTCCATATCTGTCTTCAGAACAGACCTCTAAAATCCATACCCGTTTTCAGACCTTGCCTTTAGGAGGAAATTTTGTCATCATTACTTAGATTAGAGCGCAAACAAAAAATTTCTTCAAACGCATTTCGAATTCACATATTTCTATTCAGTCGTTCTTATTCATTTGGGATTGAAAAGACAAGTATGTTCATACACTCCCGTAGTTTCCTCGAAAACTATACCCGATTCCAGACAAAAATGGGAAAGTCTATACCCGTATTCAGACCATGTATTCGGTCGCTAGGGAAAAACAGCCATCCTATGTGCTAATTTGATAACATACGTATTTCTGCATAAAAAGCAGCACTAAAGAAAATTCTGCACCGTTGTTAATTTAGGTGTTGAAGACGCGTATGTATTCAATTTTTTTCAGACTTTCTTTTTCGCATCTAAGTTGCGTGCATAACAGCGATGATTTTTCACGTATGGAAATTAATGTTTTCTTTAATTAAAACTTACTTTGACTGAAACATTTTCCCCACACCAACAAACAACTATGATCGCAGGCTACCTATAACATCTTGTTTTCTTGTCTGCATGATAAAATTTACTGAATAATTGATAGTGTACACAGCCATCTGTTTTCATTACACATCTTCCTTGTTAACAGTAACAGAACAGATTACTTTTACTCAAGTAACAAATACACTGAGTGAGAGCCTTTGAAGTTAAGTAGACCGAAGTAATTGACACGGAATATGAAATTCTACTACATGATTTCTTGCGTCATAATCTTGTACAAAAGCATGGCCACGTTTGTAAGAAGTCATTCTTATAATGGAGGTATGTTTAAGAACCTTTTTTTCTAATGCTCTTGGAACGCTAACAGTTAGCCAAATTTTGCAGCAATTTAACAGATGAGGGATTTGCGGTTTAGTTGATAAAATTTCCCCGTGCTGCAGTTTTCGAATTAAATACAACCATTATTTCCCCACTCTGTTCCATGTTTTTGTTTTTTTCGATTTGATATATTCTTTTTCATAGTCAGTTCAGCCCTCTAAGTTACTAACATGCAAGCTAGCTCTTTGACAGAAACTTAAGGAAAAGTATTTTTAAACGTTGAAGTAACCGGTCTGTTACTTACTGAAAAGAGTTCACGTAATGTTTTGTTTCCAAGTCAGTTGTTTTACCATTAATTTTATACTATAAGCTTTTTTAAAAACATTTTGACATATCTAAGTGCTTAAAAGTCGCTTGACATTAAGTATTATACGGGACTTACCAATACTGCATTTAAAAGGTTAGAAGCTGCAGCTGGTAACAGCTAGATATCCAAGGTCTTGTGTTTTACTTTGAGTACCACCACCAACTGGAGACTCAGCTGGACTTATTTTGAAACAAGACAAATGCGACTCCATGGTGGAGAGTGTTTAGTCTTGACTGTCACGTCCTGAGAATTTTTTAATGAAGGGAAGTTGACCTCCAACAGTGCAATATTTACCTAGATTCATGGCATTCAGATTTAGACTGTGTTTGATTTATTTACGCTGACTGTTTCTGAATTATTTACGCTGATGTTATCGCATTTATACTACTGGGTGAGAAATTTCTTCAATTTGATTGGCTAAGAGCAGTGGTATTTCAGCTTAATTTGAAATACCTACATGTGAAAATTACAAAACCTTTGCGGGTAGTAGTATAAACAAATAATAGCATGATTTGTACGTGATATTTGGCGTAAATACCACTAGTGATATTTCAAAATTGACTCAAATTTCACTCGCCTAACGGCTCGTGAAATTACGCACAACAATTTCGAAATATCGCTCGTTGTATTTATGCCAAATATCACTACAAATCATGCTATTACCTATACTAATTATAGACGGTAAGGCGTTTCACATAGAGGTACCTTCTTTCATTTGAAACATTTTGCGAAATCAGAGTTCTTTGGATTAGGTTATTTTACCAAGTCAATTTTAGTGGACAAAGTCAACGTATTTGGAGAGAGAGTCAAGAACCTACTTAGTTTACGAAACTGTAGAAACAAATCTACCAAATCTGACCTTCAGTGTGGCTGCGCCCACTTTATGGAACGCTCTTCCTGTTAGCCTCCGCAGCATCAAATGTGTTTCTACTTTTAAATCTAATCTTAAAACTTATCTTTTTAAATTAGCTTTTAATATGTCTTAGATATTAAATATATTTGTACATTTCTAATATTTGTATTAATAGTTTTTAGGTTCTTTATTGTTGTAATGCGCTTTTGATCACCTAGCATGTTAAAAAGCGCACTATAAATGAATAAATTATTATTATTATACCTCACTACTTAACTATGAAGAAAGACAGAACAAATCTTTAACTGATGGTAACTTGTGAGGTTTATAATGGTTATTGAACTGAGTGGAGTGCAGTTTGGTCTAAAATGAATCATACGCGTGATTTCAAGTATTATGATTTCAGACCAAAACTGCACGACACGAAGTTCAATTACCACTTTAAGAAGCCGGTTTGATGAAAAGCCGAAACAAAAAGGCTTTTGCATCTCATTTTGTATTAAAAACAGGAATGATGCGATATAGTATCCACATTAATTCACAGTCCGCAATCCACCATCCAAAATTCAGAATCATTCACCGCAGTGCACTGCCGTTACTTGCAGTAAAAAGCCTGTAGTTTGAATTATCAACCTCAACTTTATTTTTTACTCTGTTTACAGGGTGTAACTTAGGACTAACAATTATTTGAAAATATATTATTACACAAGTACTTATTGACCCTGGGTACCAGAGGTTTTTTGCGTCCGGTGGAAGGTTGACACATCTTCGGCTGAAGGCCGAAGTCACGAGCGGGAAGGTACGTGCACAGTGGCCAAAAAGAAGCGACAGCTTTCGAGCTGGCCACTGTCAGGTTAGCGGTAGAAATCATAAAGGTCCAAGACTTATAAATATGGTAATGGGCATTCAAGTTAAAGTTATATACTAAGTTTACATAATATAGCTTTAGGTTATCAGGAACAGGCTTGATTCGTACTTGACAGAGGCAAAATATGATGAACAAAAATAGTCACAATTTTCATCGATAGGCTGTTACAGGTGGAGAGGGATGGTTGGTGGGGGGGAAGGGTGGGGTAGTGAGTGTTTGAGGTGGAGAAGTGGGAGTAGCCTGTGTACATACCCCCCTCCCCTCAGGAAAAGTGAGTGTAGTTGTCAATGTGATGATTTTCAGACTGCCTGCTATGTATTGACGACAGGCCCTAAAACCAATCAAAATCCCTCATTTCACGATGTACTGATAGATCATTCTCTCTTGTCTACGAGTAACAGCTAATCAAATTATTTTCCACACATTCCAGGAAAAATCACGTGGCCTCTATACACGATTATCAACGGTGAATCACAGACCCCCCTTCTCCGATTTTTCCTGACAGGAGGGGGGTGGGGGTCTCTACACAGGCTGAGGTGGGAGTTTTTCATTTCAGCGTCAGAATTTTAACATTCTGCGGAGCTTAACTAGAGACTTTTGTTCTTGGGCCATCGTAGTTTGATCAAAAATAAAACACAAACAGCGGTGATAAACATTGTGAGTTTTCGCATTTTTTATAAACTTGACGTTTCGTATGCTATTCAAAATACATTTTCAAAATTGATCTTAAGTGACCGTTGAAGAGAGAATGCTAACCGCTGAACAATATACGGAATCCTTATTTAAATTTGAATAAGAAACCCCAATGAACTCTATTACAAGTGTTAGAAATATAGTTCTGCTATTTTTTTCCTTAAGGTCCTTGTCGCGAATTGGCGTTCCCAAGTTTTCTTTTCTTTGCCGACAAGCGCCTGATGAACCACACCATAAAAACTTTAAAAGTTCGCGATCTGGATGAGTGTGAGTTGAGGTGTTACTACGAGCACAATTGTGTCAGCCTTAATTTTGAAAACAAAATGGTTGGAAATGGAAAATACAGCTGTGAATTGAACAATTCTACACACGGAGAACACGATGAAGACTTTGTGGAGGCACCAAATTTCCTTTACCGCGGAACAAACGTAAGATCATTAAATTTTAACGTTATCCAGTCTCCGAGCCTATTAATACCATAACCCAACGCCTCGTCCAAAGGGAAATGGCTGGAGCTCACCCTTTGGGCTTGACTGTGTTACAATATTTTGCAAAGATCAAAAATTAAGGAGATAGTTTCTGTTTGTGATAACTGCACGGGATCATGTGAATATAATGGAATTTGACGCGCTGAGGGCCGGGTACGTCATTTATGATGGCAGCCGAGTTGGCCGTCATATTGGATGTCATTGAAAATTCAGGTTTATCGCAATGGAGTAAACGCAAACCATCTTTCTTTTGAACCCCCCCCCCCAACTAAATCTGACAACTACACTAGGTCTCTTCCTTTCGCCATTAAGCACCTTAAAACAACGCCCCCTTATGTATGTAAGACGGGCTAATCCCTAAACCCGACGCTTAGAGTTGGGCTCGGACTGACAATCTTTACTCATTTTCCTTGAATCATGATAAGGCGGACACCTCTAGCAAAGGTTTAGAAAGGCTCAGAAGCATAAAGCAATATCTCTTTTCCATAATATGTTCCCCAGAATCCTTGTGGTAGTTCTCCATGCAAAAATAACGGGACTTGTCAATCAGGATTTACCAAGAAAGGATATCACTGTTTGTGTCGAGGCTGGACAGGTGCAAACTGCCAAATGGGTAGGTCTGAAAAATGGATTAAATGAACGCAGTAGTTATGAAACCACGCAAGCTGTACCGCACTTAAAAGGAAGAAACCACATGTGAGAACATTAATTTGAAAAAAAAGTATATAATCCGCTGTAATATTAGCCCTGCCATTGTCGACAAAACCATCACAAGCGCATTAAGCGCAGGGCGTTCCAGATGGAAGCAGCGTTTTCAGGAGCTTGTGTGTTGATGAAAGAGTTCTCCTTTCACTTTGGAGTGGATTCAGGATTTGCGGCACGTTTCTCTTTACTTTCACCTTCGTTTAGCCTAAAATTCTCAATCTGAGTTATAATTTGAAGTTGAGTTAATTTTCTGTGGACTGTCGACCTGTCGTGTAAACGAGACAGTTCCACTGTCCAGTCATCGTTTTCTTTGCAAAGTAACTGAATGAGTCTTCTAATAACTATCTTCACCTAGATATTAACGAATGTGATGAAAACAGTCACGAGTGTAGCCAGAACGCAGATTGTAAAAACACAAAGGGATCTTACAGATGCAACTGCAAGACTGGATTCTATGGAGATGGATACAACTGCACAGGTATCTCAGTGTTTATTTGGGTCCTTAGTTGTTGTAAACAGTTTAGAAAACAACAATAATAATAATAATTAATTAAAGAGCCGGTATCCAGAAGAAAAGGTAGAAGAGTGGATTTTAAATCCAGCGTGCTGATGGAAGTGGAAAGCTCAGTTATAAGCGAGGTATTATTTCTCTGGCCAAGAAGACGAAAGGGGAACTTGAAACAGAAATATTATGCTAGTATACCATTGATCTATTTGCTTAGGAAAGAATATAAAGGCAAGTGAGAAGTAAGTGGCTAATTCACACTAATACAACATTATTCTAGATATCAACGAATGTCAAGAAGAAACTGAGATGCGGAAAGAACGCAGCTTGTACGAGCACTGAAGGATCTTTCAGATGCACCTTCAATATTGGTTACTATGGAGATGGATACATCTGCACAGGTATACCACTGTTAGTGCAAACTTCCCGAGACTGAAAGCAGTTGCAAGCGAGGTTAAAAGACAGCACTGATTGATCACCATCAGAAAAACAGCCTGAAATATGATGATGTTTACCGGTTTGAGGTTGCCAATAGTTCCTGCTAGAGAAAAAAAACGGCCAACAAAGTGTTAACAATAACTGGTGCACTAGATGGAGAATTGTCTTTCTTTAGCTTTTGTAAAAAAACCAGTGCATTGAACACCAATGAATCTTCTATTGTCTGAGGCATTGGATGCTTTGACAGTTATGATCGTAAATCATGTAAATCGTAAACTTTTAAACCAAACATTATATAAGAAAGGACTGGTTTGTCTTTTAGAAGAGCTAAGGAAAATTCTTTACGCATGAGTCAATTCCAGCTGCGCCCCGCCCCCTCCCCGGGCTGCCCCCCGGGCATTAACATTTTTTTGGCCTTGGATGGGAAATTCCCGGGGGTGGGGACTCTTGAGCTGTCAAATTCCCCGGAGTGGGAACGAAGAAAGAGGGCTAATGCCCCGTCCTCCGTCAACACTGCAACATTTTTTATTGATCACACGGTCGAGTAGTGCCATTTTAAGCATTTTAATGTGCGATTTTTTGTTTCAATTAACGTCTTTCTTTGTAATAGTGCTATTCTAATTGAGACTTCACGTCGTGACGACACCAGTTTATGGTTTTAGTATTGTTATAAAATTAATGACATTTTAGAAATTAATAGTGCCCTGTAAAGTTAACTGCAATGAATAGTTTTATAAATATGAAAGGATATTCTTCAATATAGTATCAAGAGAAACTTGATTCAATAACCCGAAAAACGTTGATTCACGTCGGTAGCTCCCGAGTTTCGCTATATAATTCTGGCTTGATAAGCAATGAAGAAATGCATGCATAAAATGGAGAACATGCCTTTACAAACCTCTTCAATTTTTTCCCGGCCTTGAAATGAGCCAATCTACTTGCTTTTCAAGTAAAATCCTTTGTGTAGCTAAATTCTGATAGGAAACCGCGTGCGTGTCAAAAGCTCGGGGTTGGCAAATGCCCGGCCCCCGGGCAGGGCAAAATTTGCAAATGCCCCACCCCCGGGACTGAGGGCGGGCAAATGCCCCGCAGTAGCCCGGAGGGGGGGGCTGGGCGCGGCTGGAATTGACTGATGCATTAACAACTGCCTCTGGCAACATAGTGTCTCATCGGTCAGTCTGATATTTTTCTAACGAAGTAAAAACTGGTTTGGCTGCTTCTTCTGGTTTAATTCTTCTCGATCTTTATAATAACAAGACGCTACGGAGCTAGCGTACACTTCGGCGTCGTGGTTGTGGAACTAATTTATTGTAAATGCGGAGGAATAGTAAGAGATCAAATATGGTAAGAGTAAGGTGTGAAATTATGGGATTTGTCAGGATACTCTGAAAAGAGCAACTTCCAAGAGGCCTACTTGCCAAAAACTAGCATTTCAGGACAAATTGCCTCCGCGATATTAGCCCAGTTTTGCTCTGATGACTCCGTACAAATCCTTCTAAAAAACAATTCTCTATTTTTCTTAGTCACATGAGGCTTCAAAAACAGCATAGCAGTCCCATGTACTGATTAAAGATATGTAAGGCATGGGTAAGGAGTCGATTACGTTGAGCATAGAATTGGCTAAAACTCAAAGTCACGAGTTCGAATGTTTTGAGGATAATTATTCACTGACTATCAGCACGCAGGGATGTCGGATTAACACAAGGAAGTTTAACACCAAAGGAACATAGCCTTTACAGAGCTTTAAAACACAGCATCCGCCAACACAAACGTGACTTGAACTTTGAGTAAAACTAAACAGCCTCTACCAATAATAACAAACTCTCACTTGAACTTCTTCTTACGGCTTCCGCGAACTTGTAAACACAGAACCTGAAAATCGACCTTCGTCACACTTGACTAAACACAGCAGTCCAGCTCGTGGGAAAAAACTTAGTTCGTCAAAAGAACTCGCTTGGAACTTGTATACCGTTTGACATAAGGTTCTAGAAAATACTAAACAGGCGAATAGTAGTAGCTTTTCGACATATTTTATGATTTCAGTAACTGATGCAAATCTGCTGACTCATGCTGAAATGTAAACATGCCCTAATTAATTATTCATGGATAATCCAAAAACGTAGAGAACGTTCGAGAAAGTCACGCAACGTATGAAAGCAATTTTACTACGTAACACTAAACGAAGACAAAATGTCTTTGTGCAGCATTTTGTAACTTTAAATTCATCATAAAACAGTTCGAAAGGAGGGCTCACTCGTGAAATGTTTTTCAACACTCGAGGAGAAATTTAGTGTCTCTGCGCGGCCACGAAATATCCTCTATTTATGCCTCGAGTAATTAAAGACTAAACTCGAAGTGATCTCAAGAAATCACGAAGTAGTCCGATCTCATTTCGTGAAATAGTTGAAACAAGCCGAAAAGTCACGAACTTGCACGCCCAATCTTGTCCCGAAACTAGTGCATCATTTCATAACTATTTTTCATCTCCCAAACTACCTTCGGTCGCAGTAGCGCAATCGGCTAATCCCTCAACTTAGAGTCTCCTCTGATCTGACGGGTCACACAGGTGAGTCGGTTTAAACCCCGGGAAGGCCAAAATAGTAATTCTTTCTTCCTCGAAATAGTTAAAGAATAAATCAAAGAAATCGAAGTGATCTCGAGATATCTCGAACTAATTCGGTTCTCACTTCGTCAAATAGCCGAATAGAGCCGAAAGTCTACAGACTTTGCATGCCCAATCTTGTCAAAAAATTGCAACTTTAATACATTCCTGAGCGTCGCGAATCCTTTACTTCGCGCTCCGCCGAAGTAATTATGCTTATGACAATTTCACTATTAAAACGGTCTCCTATGGTTTCTCTTTTAACACGAACGAGTTGATTATCTCACTGTCACAGTCATCTCACTCTCTGATCTTAAATATCTTTTGTTCTCCCACTAGAGTGTTACACAATATTTGACTTCGAAGACCATGATTTGTCAAACTGGACTTTGAATGGCACTGCATTCAATAATCAGCCAACATACGGGAATAACACGTTATCAAGGAAGGGTAGGGCTTGGAGCAACCACAAAGGGGATTGGTGGATTGGTACCTTCGAGAATCGGCCCAGTCCCTCTGAACCGTTTGGGGGAAAGCAAGGTGATGGTCCTCAAGGCTCATTGACGTCACCCAGTTTTCAGATTACTGGAAAGTTGCTTACCTTCCTGATTGGATCAGGCTGCGACAAGAGTTTTCCAAACCTTCGTGCCGAGCTTATTATTGGTGGGGAAGTGGTTCGCAATAAGACGACAAAGGCGTGTGATGAAGCTATGAAAGAGGAAAGCTGGAATGTAACAGATTACGCTGGTAAAAATGCCCAGTTGCGTTTGGTTGACAATTCCTCAGGGGACTGGGGTCACATCAATTTTGATCACTTACAAGCTTGCCATAAACTCATTTCAGATACGGATCCTTGAGTTTTCTTGGTGTTCATTTTGAGCAGTTCTGTAAGATGAAAAGAGACAAAGGACTTGTAAGACTAGAGGCGGTTTTGTTTTGGGAATCATTTACAGAATGTACAGCTCTCTTTGTTTTTCTTCTGTGATCAATCAGATCGTCTGTACTTTTATTTTATTTCTATTTTATGTAGTTCGGTGAACAATAAGTGTAGTAGAGTTCGGATGTTTCGAATTAGCTCTGCGGTATTTTCCCAAAAGTTAAAACAAAAGTAACTTTATTCGCTCTTAAAAACCCAATACAATGGGAGTCATTTCTCTCCCTGAACCAAATTACAAACACAAAACTAAATATAAAGGTAACGAGCTAACAGCGGGGTGTAAGAAGCTTGTTCTTAAAGTTAGTGTACGATTAACATAAGAATTATGTGAAGAGTTTAGTAATGATCCTTGTAAAAATTGGGACTTTCAAAGTAGCAGAAAGCACTTCAGAGCCTTGCTTTATTGTTTGACTAAAAGCTGTAAAAGGTAGCAAAACGTATACATACACCAGGAACCGGGGCCAATAGCACACATATCAGGAGAATGCACCCAGCGGGAGTTTCCTCTTTAATACATTCAAAACACTTTTTAGGCTATCCAAAGTACTTTTAGAGCTGTAGAAATTCATTTTAAGTGGCGCTATAAAATTTGTATCTGTTCGGTCACCTTAGAGGAACTTGGGTCTTTTCGAAATTTTAAGGGCTTGTTGATTCGAGAAACGGTAGAGAGGTCAAAGCGATTGCCTGTTCTCTTAAAGAAGATACTATTTATTCCACTACTTCAGAGTTTGTTAAAGTTTCCTCAGACTCAAGTAGAAAGGTAACATTGGTTACTGCTTTGAGAATGTCAAACCGCGAGGGATTGAACACGATATGACTCCCTGGCTCTGTTTCCATCTTTCCAAAAAGGGATGGTGTAGTACTTTTAAAAAATGACGACACAGAGTTATGGACCTTTGACATACCCCAAGTGACGTTGTTTTTTCTATTTCAGAGGAACGGATAGCCCGTTTTTATTCACCTGGACTACTGCATGTCTTTTGGTCAGATCACTTCGGTTAAAAAACCACCTATTGATCGAAAGCGACCGTGACCACTTTGGGTGTTACGGTTTTAAAATAGATTTCCCACTTAAGCTCTATCTCTATGCTTACTGTAAGAACTACTTTGCGAAGATCTTTTAGCGACCACAAGGAGCTGTACCGTAACTTTACAATTGCAATCCAATGAATTCTCTTTCAAAAAGTAGATGTGTCAGGTCCTCGTCTTCGAAAAGATCCTCTATAGTTCCATTCTCGTAAGCATTCACCTTCTGTAAGCAAGCGCTCAATTGTTTTCGCAGATTGGGAGGTCACTTACGGGAGGTACGTCAACTCCCGGGGTGGGGAGAGGGCGGGGGGGGGGGCACTCGAGGAACGTTTGGGTAGAGGTGTACCGCCCAAATGCCGCACCTTTGTTGAAGGTCCTGTCAAGTACTTTGCCATCGCGGTCAATGACTTTGGAATTAGATAAGATGATTGTTGTTATTGTTTTCAATTCATTTTATTATGCTATTTTACGAAAAAGACAAACATCACTGGTGTACTTACCTAGTCAGTAAAAAGTATAAAAATGCCGTTTAGCCAGCCGTATAGGCATAAGAAAATGGATTTAGTAAGCTGATTCATAGTTTTGGCACTGAGTATGTAGACGATCCTCTCAAGACATTTTAATGCACCTTCCGTTGTTTTGAGCGGGGCATGATTTTCAGAAAAAGGAAAAGCAGGTCATTTAGGTGGAACAGGTGGTCATTACTACCAACCTCGTCCCCAGGGCTTTTCCCTCAAAAATGGGTGGGGCGGGAAAAGGCCCTGGCATCGGCTGGTCACGAGTCTCCTCGTACACCCTAAAATCCTGGGTGTAATAAATTAGCGCCTTGTGAAAAGCTAAAATTATGCATAACCTCACAGCGCGCGATCTCGCCGCGACCTTTTATATCTCTTGACGATTAACGAAAAGTTTTACAAGGTTTTCTTTTTGTCACAGATACTGGCTATGGTAATTTTTTGCTTTCTTCCGATGTCTACGAAGGGGACAGCGAGTAACATTTGTAAAACTTCTAAAACAAACAAGCTATCGTACGTGCATAAAGGTTGTACTGGAAAAGTCCGCTTTCTCGACTCTTCTGATATTTTATTTCATTTCTTGAGAAGTGGGCCGCCGTACAAAGCCTAGTTCTGAGTCACCTTAACTCTCAGCGATATCATAGCGACACGCGTTGGTTTACACTTATCCTGTATGACCCGTATTTTTAATAAAATTCATTGACCTCTGCAATCAAACGACTGGCAATAAAGAAAGACTTGGGTCCATTTAAAATCGACAGAGCTGTCTTCCAATCGATCAGTCAATCGTCTCTTTAATATAAGGAAAATCCTTTGTACTTATCCTCGGAAGAGAAAAGATATAAGAGTTCTTCAAATGTTTCAGATCGGCGACCTGTCATCGTTCCTGGCTGGAGGGCTGACTTGCATCCGGCGCGGAGACTTGTTTGTTTCATGGTCGGGTTGAAGAGAAGACCAGACTTCATAAAGCATTTTGATGAACGAGTCTATTTCAATTAAGTTCAATTTGTTTAAATTCACTGCAGATCCTGGAGGCAAAGGCCCGCATTTTTGTTTGACATAGGACAAAATCACTTTCCGCTTGATCGTACAGTAATTCCACAATCACGATGAAGTTTAGTCGAAGTACTAGTCGATAACAGTGGGACATAACAGCTTGTCTCAACGTTGAAGCATTTGACATATTTTGTACGTGACAACGTAGAGCCGGTATGCCCTTTCATAAACTTCTAGCATTTGAATAATGCGCAATTTTAATCGCACACACGAGAAAATATTGACATAGTGCGCGATGTTATTATTTTCCATTGTTACTCCCTTCTGTCAGCGCAAAACCAGCGGGTTGCATATAAATTAGCTTGTCAGGAATATTTAGGGCGTACACGTGACCAGCCGATGCCAGGGCCTTTTCCCGCCCCACCCATTTTTTGAGGGAAAAGCCCTGAGGACGAGGTTGCATTACTACGAAAAATAGCCTACCGTTCCATTTTAGTGACCACAATGATGTCCTGCTGGTTGTAAAACAATGAAAAGGTGCATTAAATCTACCCGCTCGGTCCGCGCTACGCGCTCGGGCATTATCTCTAAGACGGCCTCGAAGGAGCCTGGGAGAAGAAAGGACGGGAAGGGGGATCTCTACGGCGGCGGGAAGCGGGGAAGAAATTCAAAAAGGCAAGCTTTCGTTATTTGTTATTGCTTATCATCCAGTCAAAGAAACGGACCCCAAAACGTCCATTAACGTTCTCCGAGGCTTAAAGCAAAAGTTTTATATACGAGAAAAGTCAAAAAACGAAAATTCGTACTCGATATAAAAAAAAGGCGTTACTTCCGGTCAAACTGGAAACCTTTCCAAGTCGCTTACGTCATAGGTCATGAATGAGATGGCATAACACATGTACACGTATGTCGACTGGTTCAGTCGTGTAATAGAAGTGTCTCGTCTCTCTCGCTAAAGGGCGGGAGTCGAGAGACAAAGGGACACAAGGGTGTCCCCCCTTTGCTACTGCTACCAGAATCCTTCACGGTTTTTCTTTCTTGCGAATATTAGGGCTTTCTTTTTTAAACCTCGCTGGGATGATCAAAATCAAATATGAATTGGAAAAACGAAATGGATTTTAGTAGTGTTATAGTACCCCAACTGACTCTATCGTCACTTGAAAATGATTAACAAAAAACCGTGACTACGGTATTTTAGCACTACCTTGTAAATTAAACATGAATTGATGTAAAGAGTGCTTATTGAATGTAATTTAAGAACTGGTGGATTTTTTAATTCATAAATTATGCAGAAAATGCTATTGATACAAAAAAATTATTCAACCAGTTTTCTAGCATTTTTTAATTTTTTATTTTTAATTGACTGTGAAAATCCCCGCACTTAAATTAAGTCTGTCTGTCTTAAATGTAATAAGTGTAATAAGTCTTCGTACAACCCGACCTCTCACAAGGCTACTACTATCCGGACTCTGACGAGACGAGCGCAACTAGTTTGCGACTCACCTGACAGCCTACAAGACGAGACTGATTATCTTAACAACGTTTTTAGTAAGAAAAATTACAACACGGACTTTGTTAGACGGAACACTCACAGTAACACTGATTCCAACTCTCAGACCAACTCTGGCCCTGTTACGACAGCGACTATACCGTATATCAGAGGCACCTCTGAAACTATTGCACGTATATTACAACCTTACAATATACGTGTTGCGCACAAACCGATAACCACTTTACGGCGACTGCTTACTAGACAGGGAGCAGTGTACAAGATCAAATGCTGCGACTGCCAGGCTTCTTACATTGGTGAAACCGGCAAAAACCTAAGCACGCGACTGACCGAACACAAACGCGCGACGAGGAATGGTGACGTCAACAATCACATTGCTGAGCACCATTTAAAGACGAAACATCAAATTGACTGGGACTCTGCGACATGTATAACGTATTCTACAGACTACTATCAACGTCTTACTTTAGAAAGCTGGTTTACTAACTTAGAACAAACGCCACTGAATCGTAGTCAACAGTTACCAGCGCCGTACAAACGACTTATTGACGAGATCAAGCAAAACTAACTACGAGAGAACAACTAGAAAACTAACAATTTGACTAACAATAGATGACTGTTTAACTGCGACAATAGACGGATCGAAACGCACCAATCACTGATTACGAGTCTTCATAGCCAATAACATCACGGCTTCACTGACAGACGACCAATAACATCGCGACATAATTGACCAATCAGATCAATAACCCGAGTATAATACTATCAACTGACGTGATACAACTCACTTTGACTCTGAAGATGACTACCGCACAGGTTGTCGAAACGTCAGTCACTGTCAACAACAACAGTCCTATTCAGGACTATGTTCACCCGGACGATCAAACTCAACCTTTTGAAGTGTCGTATTCTTACCCAGCCTGTCCGTGTTGCTTTTAATTTTGTGATTATGTACTAATTTTAACTATTCTTATATTTTTTTAATTTTCTGAGCCCGCAGTAACTCGCTCACGCTGTTTCGGAATCCCTGCCACTTTTTTTGTTACTTCGTTTGATTACCTGAATGTATTTATATTATTTTGGCGAAGCTAATAAAATAAAATAAAATAATAAAATAACTTGTGTTTTATTTACCTTCACGTAGTAAAAACAAATTAAGCATATTTGATAAAGCATCCTGATAACAACAAACGGAGATTGGTGACAAAAGCAAATTAAACCGACACTAAGAAACAATGCATGGTTGTCATCCCCTCCCCATAAATCGATAAACGAAACAGTGTGTCATCGATTTCTACCGATTGATCGATACAATCGATATCAATCAAATCAGATTTACCGATTTTTATCGATTGACTACGCCGGGTTTCAATAGCTGTCGATGTAACAATTTTCGGAACAAATTGAGACAAAAAAAATAGGAACCTTAAGCAAGGACGACGACGACAGCAGTGAAAACGTAGGTAAAAAAATGAATTTGCGTTCTTTCAAACTTAATCGCGTCTATTGGGACCCGCTCAAAATGTCAAATGCAGGCGACTTCTCATGGAGTTGAATTCTTAAGGATTTTATTCAGGTTCAAAAAGAGGAAGGAAAATTCGTCGTCGTATGTTCACGTTTTCCACAAAACGGCAAATTAGGAGGTTTCACGTCGAAGTCGTGCAGTTGACGTCAAAGAAATGTACTAAAAAGCGTGATGCACGTGCAGAGCTGTTGTTTTGATCATTAATTAAACCTATTGTTTTTTGAAGTCGTCGTTGTGGCTGTCGTCGTCGGCGTAGTTGCTTAAGCTCCCTAATGTCGACAATCAACGACATCTTAGCAGCTGTATCTCTTCAAACAGCCTTGTCGCCAGGTCCTTCTAATTTCCCATGATATCTGAGAGGTTATTAGACGCACGGACGTTTAATATACTGCGCTGCGACAATCTGCTCTTCTGTTGTCATGCACAATATGGCCTCTTGGCCGTTTTATCTTCTGCTTGTCGTAAGTTTGAATTTTCTTTCGTCGAATGCCAAACCCGTTAGTTTATTGGATAAAGGTGAGTAACAGTGAATCATTAATTTGCCATTGATTCAAGAAATAGGTATAAAATTTCGTGACCTCTTGGATTACTTAAAGAATATACTGCATGTTTTTAAAATTCCATTTTTTCCTAGTAGTCTTTTTAGTGTCATAGAGAACATTAATCGTAACTATGAGACAGAAAGCTTTATTTATTTTGCTACATTCTATGCATGAGAAATGTGGTCTTTGAAACCCATTCACTAGGGTACTCTATCCCCGAGTGGCACTTCCGTATGTGCTGCTGAACAGGATATGTTTTTTTTGAGACTTTTAGCCTGCGGACACAGACGTTAGGTATCTCCGGTCGTCTGACGTCTGTGTCCGCAGGCTATGAGTCTTCAGGATTCCTACCAAAAATTATTTTTCCAAAATCATCTAATTCCATTGTGTTAGTTTAAACAATTTTAATCTAAATTACGTAATTCTGTATGGGAAACGAAACGAATCAGGGCCGGGTTGTTCGAAGCCGGCTGGGTTAAGATAACCCAGGGTTAGTGCAAATTTCGAATTCAGATATGAGAGCTTAAAAAGCCAATTCAGTTGAATTCTCTCTTTCTACAATTTGATGATTGGATATCCTAAAAAAAATAGAGAAAATTATCCGAGAGAGTGCTTTTGATAAAAAGAAAAAGAAACCCGGGTTAAAATTTAACCCCGGGTTAGTGCTAATTGGCGTTTGAACAACTGGGGGCCCAGGGCCCTAAAATAAGTTCTCTCGACAGGGTAGCGAAATGCATGATTTGTGTCTAAACCGAGTCAGGGTTTGAAAGCTTTGGCAGGACTTCTGGAAACGGGTTCCTGGTCTAAATACGATTTCCTTTCTCCTTTTTTTCAAAAATTGCAAAGTAGAACTTAGTAATAAAATGAATTGATTGAACATTGGTATAACGCTGCCTTGGTTTCAAGAGGGTCAAAAACGTGACGTCTGTGTGAGCAAAAAACGTCTCTTCATAGTCATGCATCCCGTGCCGGAGGCAGACTTCATGTCAGTATATCGAGTCGGCCTACGCAGATGTTTTTTCTCGTAACTTGTAATTCAAACCGAAACGCAATCCCTCTTATAATCTGCGCACCCCTAACGCTCACTCCTCCCCCCTTGGGATAGACTTGCCATATAAACCGTTTCACTTCTAACCGCCTGGCCAAAAAACTCCTTCCAAAATTATATTTTGTTTTGTAAAATCGTAAGAAATAAATGATCCTCTGCAAAAGTTCTACTCAGTAGGTTTCATTTGAATACCAGCACCATAAGATTTCGCCCACAGACTGAATGTTGCCCCAAGCCTTTTTTCCAAAGCTAGGCCAAGCGCAATAGGAAAGGTTTTGTACTTAGCCTCGTTTCTAAAGTGAAAGTTTATGGAACTCGGCAAATATTAGCTATTGTCTGGTCGCTACTGCCCAAGCCAGCCCGGAAGTGGGGGGGGCGGGGGTACTCCTGGGAATTCTTGGCGAGGGTGTGCCTGACCCTATTTCAGACCAAAAAATGTCATTTTCCATACCTGTTTTCAGACGAGACCTCAAAAATCCATACCCGTTTTCAGACCTGGTCTTTAGGCTGAAATTATGTCATCATTACTTAGATTAGAGCGCAAACAAAAATTTCTTCAAACGCATTTCGAATTCGCCTATTTCCACTTTGTTATTATTCATTTGGGATTGAAATGATAAACACGTTCATACACTCCCGTAGTTCCCTCGAAAACTATACCCGATTCCACACCAAAATGGAAAAGTCTATACCCGTATTCAGACCAAAAAAGCCCAAAATCCTTACCCTTTGTGGCGGCACAAATCTACATGGCTTATATAAGGGAGTACCACCACACGTGCAGCACACTCTCACCACCGCTATATCATTTTCATGTGTTTCTTCCAACGAAATTGGTTTCCGTTGTTATTTATTTCTCGCTCTAGCTCTTTTCCTGTTATCCAAGTTAATGTAGACATTAAAATTTTGTGGAAAGAAAGACTCGTTTTTTTTCTTTAAAAGTCCGGGCGCCCATGTAATTTACCGCCGAATTGAGCGGGGTGCTTGAAATGCAAAAATTTCACCTCAGCTATAACATACTCCTCCCCCGACTGGCTGACTCCTGACCCCTTCCCCCTCCCCTAGCGTCTGTACGCTCAGCGTTCGGTCGTACGCTGACGTCATAACCAATTTTTCTCGGATGGATAGATGACCAAATTTTCTTAAAGGGCTTCGTTCGCGCTCGTGGAGCTCCGCTAAGATTGATTTACATTGCCATTTTTTTTTTCGTTTCAGAGTTTCAGACAGTTCATGGCCGAATTTTGGCTGTAAACATGGCGCACTTAAGAAAGAAACGTCAGACGGTCGGGAATGACACAGATGGCGAACACGCTTATAAAGAGATTGTAAAAATCAACAAAGGTATACAAATCACTTGGCTTAACAAATTTATTTATCTACTGTTAAAATAATTTTTGCAATACCTTAGATAACTTGGATGAGCTGCATTAGCATATCAATACCTAAAATTACTGGAATTTTTTCCCCATTTGTTCCTGATTTGTTTGTTTGCCTGTTTATTTATACTTAGCACGCAGTGTCTTTCAATCAAAATGGCCGCGTATGTTAAGGAACTTAAGGACTAAATAACAAAGGGCGGAAACTCACCGAATGCCATACGAGAAAAAAAACGAGTATGTAACACCCGGATTATACCATACCAGATTCCCTCCTATATGAGTATGTATTTTTGTAGCACTCAGCTCCTAAGAAGGTAACAGAGACGTTAAATATTTAGACTGCGAAACAGTCCGTATTTTTGTGTACAGTCGACTCTCTCTTAACGGACACCTCTATAAGACGGACAACTTTGTAAAACGGACACTTAGAGTTAGTCCCTGCCTTCCTTTACTCCTTTTATTTGACTCTCTATAAGACGGACATCTCTCTAAGACGGACACTTAGTGCCGGTCCCAAAGATGTCCGTCTTAGAGAGAGTTGACTGTATTCAGGTACGCGCGAGCAGTCAAACAAAAGGTCTGGAACGAGGCTGAAAACAGAGAGCGAGACTGGGGCTGGGGGAGACGCTAAAAATACGCCCCACACGCCCTACGGGCAAAGAAGGGCTCGCGCGCTTCGCACGCTTAGGACTCTAACGCCACGCTTTGGCTATTTTAAGAAAAAAAGAAACCCGAATGTTTTGCAGTCTAAGTATTAAACTCTTAATGACTGGTTACGAGGGAAACAGTTAATTTTGTTTCTCGAGAATCTCAATCTTGCCGAGGCGAAGCCGAGGGAAACATTGAGATTCGAGGAAAACAATGTTTCCCGATTGACCAGTGATTTGTTATGTAGCCGGAAATTTTGAAGCTGGAAATTCATTAAACCTCGCTGTATAACGGCGATCATCTGTAAACGTTCGCGGGTAACATTCCATTGTTACCTTCTGACGTCATAGATTGTTTGCAATGTTGCCCGCTCAGAGAGTTTGGCAGGAATCAGTTTCGTTGTTAGACGTCATGTGACCTCGAAGT